GGCAATGCATACATGGCAGTGAGAATAGCATCATAGTCAAGAGCATATATATCTACCCTCTGCCTAAGCAACTCCACCCAGTCGGGAAGCTCAGCCTCGTCGCCAAACACGGTACGCCAGGCGTCGCTCAGACGGGCGAAGCAGCGGGACGGTGTATGACTACGTGTCCCACAAGGCTGACCAGTCCGAGTACCAGTTCGAATCACGTAAGAGCAGCGAACAGCACTGAGAGACCCTCCAATCTGAGCGTACCACTCACGAAGCTGGCGAGGCGTGAGAGACACGCGAGAGCGTCGCGGGAGCTGCATCTGGCCGCCACCACGAGTAGAAGCAGCAGGAGTGGTAGTAGGAGTAGCGTCGCCACCCCTACAGCCCCAACCAGTGTACCACTCACGCAGCTGCTGGGGCGTGAGGGACTCACGCCGGCGTCGCTGGGGCTGCATTTGGCTCCGCAAGTAGAAGCAGGAGCAGGACTAGCAGCAGGGAGGCAGGCAGCCAGGCAAGCCAAAAGGCAGGCAGGCAGGCAAGCAGGCGACGCGCAGCGTGCTAGCAGGGCAAGAGCTCACCAGTGGTGGGAAGAGTAGGCTCGGCGACTCAGCGGCTCGGCAGCTCGGCGGCTCGGCGGCTCGGGCGACTCGGGCGGCTCGGCGGCAAGGCGGCTCAGCAGCAACTGCAGCTCAGCAGCTCGGTGACTCGGCGGCTCGGCGGCGGGGCGGCTCGGCAGCAACTGCTGCTCAGCAGCTCAGCGACCCGGCGGCTCGGCGGCAGGGCGGCTCGGCTGTGGGGCGGCTCGGCTGCTGCAGGTGAGCGGCTCGGCTGCTGCAGTGGGAGATGAAGGAGGAGGAGAAGCAGGGGAGGCCACACACCTGCCACCCCTCTGCTGGCCTCTCAGGTCGCCTCGAGAGGCGACGGGAAAAGGGGGGGTGGGTGGTGGGGGGCCGGTAGGTGCAGCGGCGGGGCCAGCAGGTGCAGTTGCGGGGCCAGTAGAAGGGGACGGCAGGAGCCGTCAGGAGGGGACGGCGGGGCCGTCAGGAAGGGACGGCGGGGCCGTCACGAAGGGACGGCGGGGCCGTCAGGAGGTGACCGGGCCGCGACGGGGGCAGGCGGCGGGGCCGCTTAAGGGCCTGGGCGGGGCCGCGACAGAGCCGTCGGCGGGGCCGCGTGAAAGCCGGGGCGGGGCCGCGTAGAAGCCGGGGCGGGGCCGCGCGAGAGCAGGCGGCGGGGCCGCGAAGGAGCCGGGGCGGGGCCGCGTGAGAGCAGGCGGCGGAGCCGCGTAAGGGCCTGGGCGGGGCCGCGACAAAGCCGTCGGCGGGGCCGCGTGAAAGCCGGGGCGGGGCCGCGTAGAAGCCGGGGCGGGGCCGCGCGAGAGCAGGCGGCGGGGCCGCGAAGGAGCCGGGGCGGGGCCACGTGAGAGCAGGCGGCGGAGCCGCGTAAGGGCCTGGGCGGGGCCGCGACAAAGCCGTCGGCGGGGCCGCGTGAAAGCCGGGGCGGGGCCGCGTAGAAGCCGGGGCGGGGCCGCGCGAGAGCAGGCGGCGGGGCCGCGAAGGAGCCGGGGCGGGGCCGCGTGAGAGCAGGCGGTGGGGCCGCGACAGAGAGGGCGGCGGGGCCGCGTCAGTGAAGGCGGCGGGGCCGCAGGGGAAATGGCGACCCGAGGGGTCGCTAAAAAAAAAGATCGCGCCTCGGGGGGCGCTTCGGTGGGCCCAAAAAACGGTCCGTAGAAGGACCCGCTCTATACCATGTGAGAATAAGCGAACAGGAATGGATGAACTAGAAGTGAAAAGAGTACAAGTAGTAAACCCTAGAATTGTGTACCCCCTATAGGCTAACCCACTGTAGCCTACACAAGTATAACATATATAATGTTTGAGAGGAAGGAAGAAAGCCGCAGAGCGGCGAAGAGGCGTCGGTGCAGATGGGTCAGGGGCGGCAGCAGGGAGTGCAGGGGCGGAGAGGCCCGTCACGGGCCAGTGCCACGGGGCGCACGACGGGTAGGATAAAAGGGCCCGATCGTGTGCCTCGGGGCGCACGACGAGCAGGGCACCATCGTGTGCCTCGGGGCGCACGATGGGCAGATAAAGGGCACCGTCGCGTGCCACGGGGCGCGCGACGGGCAGGGTAGGAGTCACACGCCCGTGGGCGGGACAAGGTAAAGAATAAAATCGTCACGCGCCCTAGGCGCGCGACCGTAAAATTTTAGCAGCGGAAGTAAAGCGGACCCACAGGCCAGGACGAACTCAGCTCCGATAACATGTCGAGAGTAATAGAAATGAAGAGTTAAAAGGTGGGGCCTAGGCTTAGTAGCCTAGGCCCTAACTAGGTATCGAGCGGGTTTTCCTTAGGAGCGATGTCGAGTGAGTTGTGAGAGAGAAATTGGAGAATGTGTTTTCACTATAGCATTCGAAGTACATATAGCAAAGGAACACGTGAAGAGGTGCACCACCTACAAATTTAATAACTACACTACAGCTAGAACTACATGCAGTTATAATAAATATAATTCTGACATCCATGACCATAGGCATCATCTCCCATGCACTAAGGGCAGGCACAACCACATCCTACCGAGTGCACGATGGGCAAAAAAAAAAAAAAAAAAAAAAAGGCGGAGGAAACGAGGAGAAGAAGAAGCGTCGTTTCGCGCCCGACACATTCGTTGACATTTTCGTCAGTTTTTATTTTCTTCACACATTTGATCAAGGGTTGCCCGTACACGTACATGCACACACATGCTTTAACATGGAATACTCAACCCGTATACCACTTGGCCTCCCATGCACAGGAGCACGACGGTGCGAGGCGGCAGGCTACGATGACCCGTACGAATTTGCCGTTACAGACAGAACTATTACACAGATGCGCGGTCGTCTTCGCGCGACCTTTGCGTGGTGGAGCTCATGGTGCCCCAGCAGCCTCGTTCTCTCCGTCATCGCCAAGGGTTACTGGTTGCCATGGAGCCACGGCCCACCATAACCTTTCCACGATCGCAATCATGTCGGGGCGAACACGCATGCCACGTTCACACGTACCGCCATCCAAGAACTCATAGAGACGGGAGTGGCAGTTCCGATGGCCGCAACGGAGCTCAAGTGCATAAGTCCACTTAACGTGGTCGAGCAAAAAGACAAATGCAGGCTCATTCTTGATCTGAGAAAGGTCAACGCCAACTTGATTGTCCCCAAGTTCAAGTACGAGGGGCTCAGCCGTGTCGCCGACCTGGCGCGCGTTGGGGACTGGATGTTCTTCATTGACCTCAAATCTGGTTACCATCACATCGACATCCACCCATCGTGCTCGAAGTTCCTTGGCTTCGAATTCGATAGGCGCACATACGCATTTCGTTCACTACCATTCGGCCTCGCGACGGCTCCATTCGTCTTTACACAGCTCATCAAGCAAATAGCTCGGCGTTGGCGAGAACAAGGCATCCGAGTCGTACCTTACGTGGATGACATCTTATTTCTCTGCTAGTCGAAAGCCGATGCGCAAGCAATCTGCCAGCAGGTGATATTGGACCTCAAAGAGGCAGGCCTTGTGATAAACGCGAAGAAATCACGACTGTCACCATCGCAACATCTCCGATTCCTGGGCATAGAACTGGAGACCGACACCGGCCGATTCTCCATTGGTCCCGACCGGCGAGCCTCACTACATGCAACCATCCAGAACCTCCTGAGCGCAAGCAAGGCATGCCGACCAGTCCCGGTCCGCCACGTGGCCAGAATCACTGGCATGCTTGCATCGATGGGTGTCGCACTTGGCGCGACCGCTCGCGCATTCAGCCACGCTATGTTTGCAAGTGATCAACGAAGCACCGTCTTGGAAAAGCAGCGTGGTTATCCCCCCATCTGCAGCAGAGGAGCTCCAATTTTGGCTCGAGGAGTTTGACCGTTTCAACGGCGCACCTTTTCACGCCAGGAACAGCTACGACGCAGTAATCCATGTGGATGCCAGCTCTCATGGTTGGGGCGCCACCCTGACCACAATTCCGGGCGGCCTCGAAGAAGCCAGCGCAACCATGTCAGAGCCGCTACGAGGAACGTCCAGCACGCGACGGGAGATTGAAGGCGTCCTTTGGGCGCTCCAAACATACGCGACCAAGATCAAGCAAAAACGCGTTCTCGTGCGGGTGGACAACCAGGGCGTGTTCTTCATCCTTCGAAAAGGCGGCTCTCACAGCCCCGACCTCGCAACGGCATGCAAGAGCATCATCCGAACATGCATGGAGCTTGGCACGCGCTTGATCATCGAATGGATTCCGCGCGAGCTCAATACACACGCCGACGAACTTTCAAAAATGGTCGACCACGACGATTACGCGCTGAAAACGCCGTGGTTCCGCATCTTGAAACGTCGTTGGGGGCCCCACTCAATCGACCTCTTCGCAAACTCCCGCAACACCCAACTGCCGCGCTTCTGCACAAAGATTCCCCACCCAGAAGCCATCGCAGTTGATACGTTCTCGATCGCGTGGACACCCGAAAACAACTTCACCTTCCCCCCGCCCCAGCTGGTCCCGGCCGTCCTCCATCACGCACAACGCACCCATGCATCACTCACACTGATAGTTCTGCACTGGCCAGGCGGAAGCCGGTGGCCACTTTTGCAACCCTCCCCATGCACTTGGGCTCCACACATCCACGCGCATATCCCTCTAACACACGGAAGCCAATGCCTAGACGCAAGATCCCATTACAATGCTTTTTCAGGCATGGGACTACCGCACAGCCCAATTATTGCACTGAGAATGGCAATTGATAAGAATAAGAAAGCAAGCTTTCTCAATTGCTTGTTCACAAAAATCCTCGCGCACAACCGTGCTCGTTAACAACAGTGCTCGTTCACAACAGTGCTCGTTCACAACAGTGCTCGTTCACAACAGTGCTCGTTCACAACAATGCTCGTTCACAACAATGCTCGTTCACAACAATGTTCGTTCACAACAATGCTTGGTCACAACAATGCTTGTTCACACACAGAGTGACAGCCACAGTTGCCTTCCGTCAGGCGTGCTCCTCCTCCAGATAATAGGAGTCACCATTCGCTGCACTCCCTGCTCCCTGCTCCCCTCCCCGCTGCTCACCTCGCCCTCCCCCCTCTCGCCCTCGCCACCCTGCTGTTGCTGTCCCTCCACCCATGCCAGCAGCAGAATTAGCGGCAGCAGCAGCAGCAGCCACAGGGCCATGAGAGGCACGTGGTAGAGCTGGCTGTGCGGCATCCAAGGCGTCATGGTGGGAGGGCAGCGGCAGCGGCGGCAGGTTGGTGGTGAGCCCCACGCCCGTGGCGTGGCACGCCCGCGTCTGCGGTATGTTCTCCAGCGGCCGCTTCTCTGGCTCTCCAGGACACTGTGGGGAGAGGGGCAGGGGGAGGGGGAGACAGGATGGTGTTGGGGAGGGCGGAGATATGTGGTGGATAGAAGTCGGGTAAAGGCGATGGTGGAAGACAAGGGAAGAGGACATACAAAGAGCACCTGTGGCATGGCCGCTCGGGCTCACCATTGAGACTAGACGACAGTCCTATGAGATTCAGGAGAGGTTGAAGGTGTGACAGCTCGGTGCAGAGAGCAGCACTGGAGCAGCAAAGGCTGCACGCGCCCCTCAGGGCACAGAGCGCACACGAGACACAGACATGGCGCCATGTAGGTCCGGCCACAGGCATGGCACCATGTAGGTCCGGGCACAGGCATGGCGCCATGTAGGTCCGGGCACAGGCATGGCGCCATGTAGGTCCAGGCACAGGCATGGCGCCATGTAGGTCCGAGCACAGGCATGGCGCCATGTAGGTCCGGGCACAGGCAGACACTGGTGGTGCTGCGTGCACACACGGACACGTGTCCATATGCCCCAACCCCCCACGCCCCCATGATCTATGCAAGAGTTCACCTCTGCACGGGTACATAACCACCACACTCCCCAGTGTCCTTCCCCCCTCACCAGCAAGCGCTCCCCCCCACACCAGCAAGCGCTCGTACAGTTGGTGCACGTAGCGGGGCTTACATAGAGGAGGCAAGCATGCAGGCGAGGCGAGACAGTCCCATGGGCACCTGTGACAACCGCACTCCCCAACCCCATCCACTCACGAGGATGCGCTCCTGCACTTGGTGCACATAGCACGGCTCATAGCAGGGCACGTAGCAGGGCACGTAGCAGGGCACGTAGCAGGGCACGTAGCAGCAAGCGCTCCTGCACTCACCAGCACGCGCTCCTGCACTCACCAGCACGCGCTCCTGCACGGGGTGCACATAGCAGGGCTCGGAGGAGCCGAGCATGCAGGCGAGGCGGCCGTTGGAGCGCCAGTCGCTGTGCTTCCACTTGGCGACGTTCATGGTGTAGGGCGTCACCCCCGCCACCCCCGCCGCCACGTACCCAAACGTGGACGTGTCCGTCACCAGCAGCACGTCACTGCCCGCCCCGCCGCGGCTCACAGGCGCATGGGCGCACGCGCGCACGGGGGAACAAGCACCAATCAGTCATGTGAGAGATCAATGTTGAGAGGTATATGTGTGTAAGGCGAGGGATGAAAGAAGAAGTTTGAGAAGAGTCACGGATGGATGACATATGTGAGCGATGCTTAAGGTAAATGGTGAAAAGAGAGATTCAAAAGCATGGGGCACGTGAGGTGGTAACGGGGAGAAGTGATGGCGGAGAGGGGGGGTCGGGGGCTGCACCAGAAGGCGAGGAGCCACATCTCAGTGACGGCGAGCTCGTACTGCAGCTGGTCCTCCTGCTTCTCCTGACCCTCTCCACTCACACTGCCACGTGCATGATGTGTGGGTGATGGCGCATGGGGGATGGAGCATGGGAGATGATGCATGGGAGATGATGCATGGGAGATGATGCATGGGAGATGATGCATGGGAGGTGATGCATGGGAGGTGATGCATGGGAGATGATGCATGGGAGATGATGCATGGGAGATGATGCATGGGAGATGATGCATGGGAGATGATGCATGGGAGATGATGCATGGGAGGTGATGCATGGGAGGTGATGCATGGGAGATGATGCATGGGAGATGATGCATGGGAGATGATGCATGGGAGATGATGCATGGGAGATGATGCATGGGAGATGATGCATGGGAGATGATGCACGGGAGATGATGCATGGGAGATGATGCATGGGAGGTGATGCATGGGAGGTGATGCATGGGAGATGATGCATGGGAGATGATGCATGGGAGATGATGCATGGGAGATGATGCACGGGAGATGATGCATGGGAGGTGATGCATGGGAGGTGATGCATGGGAGACGATGCATGGGAGATGATGCATGGGAGATGATGCATGGGAGATGATGCATGGGAGATGATGCATGGGAGATGATGCATGGGAGATGATGCATGGAAGATGATGCATGGGAGATGATGCATGGGAGATGATGCATGGGAGATGATGCATGCATGGGAGATGATGCATGGGAGATGATGCATGGGAGATGATGAATGGGAGATGATGCATGGGAGATGATGCATGGGAGATGATGCATGGGAGGTGATGCATGGGAGATGATGCATGGGAGACGATGCATGGGAGATGATGCATGGGAGGGACATGAGTTCGTTTCATGCCCGCTGAGTGCCCCATCATGCCATGAAAGAAAACCCACTCTTGCATGCCAACACACCACAAGAGTGACATGTGAACCCCTGAGAGAGCACAGCACACCCTGTCTAGTAAGTACCACCAAACCTAGAGAACAGTGCAAAGAACGGAGACGGTGGTGGGTGGCAGGCACCTGAAGACGGAGACGGTGCTGCCGTCCAGCGGCTTGCCCAGCATGTAGCGGTCGCGCAGCTTGGTGCCGTGGGAGGGGTTCAGCGAAACCACCAGCGCCCCAATGCTGCGCCCGCGCATGCCCAGCAGCGCCTCCTCCGTCACCTGCGTTGGGAGCACGAGGGGTGGAAAGTGGTTCCGGGGGATGGTGCACGTTAGTGCGGTGTGGTGCATGGGGAGTGTATGGGGGCCAGTGGTGCATATGGGTGTGCTGAGGCCCGATAATGGAGCGCCTCAACGGTGCCCTTTACCTCGCATAGGACAGGTCTCTATCACTGCACTATGCTTGCACGCTTGCATGCAAAGCAAGGGATTGATTGAGTGAGATGGAACGAGAGAGACCACCTGTTTCTATGCCATGACAAGAGCTGTCTTTCCAACGAGTCACTCACAGAGGCAGCGGTATGGCGCCATTGGTCGGTGGGCATGACAGGTGGCAGTACTCTGGCGATGTTGGTGGCGCACTCAAAGACATTCACCATCAGATCCTCCTCTGTCTCCTCGAATGCCCGGATCTGGCATGCACACACATGCACACACATGCACACACATGCACACACATGCACACACATGCACACACATGCACACACATGCACACACATGCACACACATGCACACACATGCACACACATGCACACACATGCACACACATGCACACACATGGACACACACGCACACACGTGCACACACATGCACACACATGCACACAGGTGCATACACACATGCACGCACGTGCATACACATGCACACACATGCACACACATGCACACACGTGCACACACATGCACACATGCTCATGCACATGTACACAATCACACACACATGACAGATCACACATGCACACACACATGACAGATGCACACATGCACACATGCAAACATACACACATGACACATGCATGGAGACACACATATTGACATATACAAACCATCATGCACGCATGTAGGCACACACACGCACAAGTATGAATGAGGCAAACAAGTACACATGTGGATGTGGTGCACGCATGTATTCTCGATGCCTACTCCGATGATTCCAACCCTCCATTCCTGTCTACTTTCACCTCTCCACATGCCCCTTGTCTTCAATCTCCCGTCCCAACTGCAATCCCCCTTCCCCTTCCAACCCCCCTTCCAACACAACCCCTCCCGACCCAACCCAACGCAATCCCTCCCAACCCAGCTCCAACACCCACCCACTCCCCTTCCCCCTTCCACCTCCCCTCCCCTCTCCCCCTTCCCCGCAAGTCCCCCCTACCCCCCATGTGAGCGGACCTGCAGGCCGACGGTGAGGGAGTGGAGGGCGAGGTGGCCATGGTAGAGGCGGGTGATGCGATCCCACAGGTAGTTGGCGGGGTGCAGCAGATACCTGCACCGCACACGCATGGCACACGCACGGCACACGCATGGCACATGCATGGCACACGTATGGCACACACATGGCACACGCATGACCCACGCATGGCACATGCATGACACACGCATGACACATGCACGATGTATGGCACACACATGACACATGCACGGCACACGCATGGCACACGCATGGCACATGCACGGCACATGCATGGCACATGCACGGCACATGTATGGCACACAGATGAGTGGGCAGGGTGGCGCTTGAGTGGAACCAAAAAGGGTTGCTGCAAACCATGGCAGGCCTTCGCAGTTGGGTGCATAGATCACATGAAGTTTGCATCGAACCGGGTTGAGATGACATGAGGTTCGTGTATCCAACCCGGTTTGCCACCAATGGAGTATGATGCTTGAATCGAAAGGTGGTGACAACTGACCGAGAAAGGTGCGTGAAGACTCGTCGATCAGGAAAAAGGGACTCGAGCTGAACCTGCAGGGGCGAGCAGACGGGGAGAGGAATGGAGTGAGAGGGAGAGGGAGAGAAGGGTGGGCGTGTAGAGAGAGAGAGAGGGGGCAACGAGCAAATGGACATGGTAAGGAAGATATGGTTGGGCGATGGCAAGGTTGGGCGATGTCAAGGTTGGGGATGAGAAAACACGTGGCTCCACCGGGAAGAGCAGGCAAGGATTGTTCATGGAGCAGGCAAGGATTGTTCGCGGAGCAGGCAAGGATTGTTCATGGAGCAGGCAAGGATTGTTCATGGAGCAGGCAAGGATTGTTCATGGAGCAGGCAAGGATTGTTCATGGAGCAGGCAAGGATTGTTCATGGAGCAGTGATGGCCACATGCTGCCATCACGCGGTATGCCTCTCATTGTGGCTTGACAAAACGACCTAAGCTTCCTTCCTGCGGCACAAGCAGCATGCAGAGAGCGTGACATTGGGAAGTGGTGGACCCACGCACACAACTCATGCACTGACACCACCACCACCGTACCTGCAGCGAGGGCACCACCACCACCACTGTACCTGTAGGATGTCGAACTGTACCTGCAGCATGTACCTGCAGCATGTACCTGTAGCGAGGGCACCACCACCACTACCGTACCTGCAGCGAGGGCACGAGGTAGAAGTGTACCTGCAGCGAGGGCACGAGGTAGAAGTGCACCTGCAGCGAGGGCACGAGGTGGAAGTGCACCTGCAGCGAGGGCACGAGGTAGAAGTGCACCTGCAGCGAGGGCACGAGGTAGAAGTGCACCTGCAGCGAGGGCACGAGGTAGAAGTGCACCTGCAGCGAGGGCACGAGGTGGAAGTGCACCTGCAGCGAGGGCACGAGGTAGAAGTGCACCTGCAGCGAGGGCACGAGGTAGAAGTGCACCTGCAGCGAGGGCACGAGGTAGAAGTGCGGCACGAGGAAGTAGTCGGTGTAGAGCGTGGCGAAGCGCGCCGTGGCCATCTCCTGCTGCTCCGCCTCACAGAACATGCCCCACGTGTCCGCCTTGGAGCTACCCGTGGCCCGTGGCAAGGGAGGGAGGGAGCGGAAAGATCCGAGAGAAATGTGAGGTGGGGGGGGATGGCGGGGTTGAGGAGAGAGAGGGAAAGACAAGGGGGGAGCAGGTTTGCGAGTGAGAGAAGAGAATCGCGCACCTCTCTACTCAACGCACGAGCGATAAAGTCGGGATTTTTTTTTTTTTTTTTTTTTCCCTGTGATTTTGTGTAACACACCAGCAACCAAGCAAGCTGGATTGGAACCAGGAAGTGAAATGTAAATGCTGACGTCACTCACTCCTATGACATGTGCATGCTGGCGTCACTCACTCCCATGACATGTGCATGCTGACGTCATGGCCGTCCCATCCATTGACAAGGCCTCGGTTGCGCGCCAGCGAGCGGTGCACCGTCTGGGATATGGTGCTGGGGGAGGTGGGATGAGGTGCATCATGTGGGGAGGGCATATGAGAAAAGAGAAAGGAGGGCATGGGAGGAGGGCTTGTAAAAGGCAGTGGTGGAAGTGACATGCAAAACAGGTGCTTTAGATGATGGTGGCTAGCTCACCCTAAATGGGCATAGCATAGTGTGCAGCTGAGAGCAGAGTGTGCAGCTGAGAGCAGAGTGTGCAGCTGAGAGCAGAGTGTGCAGCTGAGAGCAGAGTGGTTTCAAGCACGGGGACTGACTTGAAAGCCTCTTGGGGGATGGTCCAGGAGGTGGCAGGGAAGGGGTCACAGAAGAAGCGGAAGAGGAAGGAGTCGGGTGGGATGATGAGCGTGCGGTTCGTCAGCAGCGCGTACGTGAACGCCGAGATGAGCGCCATTATGCGATTGCCCATGCCTGCAGGCGTGCAGCAGGGGTGACCAGGGCACACACGTGGAGAGAGGGGGGTGAGGTGCATGCACAATGGCCGCCCACAGCAATGGTATGCTTGCCTTGGACCGGCCTCACCTGCATTCTCACACCCTTCTCCCCTGCACCGCACCGCGCTCCCTCGTCCGTTCCCTGTGTACCCACTTCACCAACCACCCTTGCATCCGCCACCTTCCTCCTTCTCCCCTCCACGCTCCTCCTCCTACCGCCTGCCTACTCTCTCCCTAAAAACCACTCCATCACGTCACCCTAGACCCATCCCCATGGGAATAGCTTTGAGAAGCTTCACATCACACAACAAGCCGCCTTGCCCCTCAACGTCACCCCTCCTCCCCGCACCACATCCTGCCAGCCCCCGCACTCACGCACTCCACCCCACCCCCCCCCCCCCATCGCATGCGTAGACAGCCCCCAGCCTTGCCAATGTGCCCACCAGGCCCCAGCCGCGGCCGGGCATACATGCACCCTCAGCAGACAGTGGGCAGAGAAAGTGCACGTGTCGATGCTCTGTGCAAGGCTCTTGCAATGGCGAGCAGAGGCGGTGCAATGGGACTTGAACCCCTCTCATGTATCTCCGTTTTGTCCAATCATTTCTTGCTCCACAAGTCAAATACTTGGTGTTGTTGTGCCTCAAAGGCATTTCAGGGGCGTACCATGGTAGGCGGGCGGCATAAAGAAGAGATACTTGCAGTTGCCCAGGCCGTCAACGCCATCCTTCCACCCCATGTACCTGCACCCCGCACAGTGATTGGTGGGGGGGGGCATGGGAGACAGGCAGAGGCGTGGATATGAACGCCAGAGGCACGGAATAGGAACAGCAGAGGCATGGAATAGGAACGGCAGAGGCATGGAATAGGAACGGCAGAGGCATGGACTAGGAATGGCAGAGGCATGGAATAGGAATGGCACAGGCATGGAATAGGAATGGCAGAAGCATGGAATAGGAATGGCAGAGGCATGGAATAGGAATGGCAGAGGCATGGAATAGGTACGGCAGAGGCATGGAATAGGAATGGCAGAGGCATGGAATAGGAATGGCAGAGGCATGGAATAGGAACGGCAGAGGCATGGACTAGGAATGGCAGAGGCATGGAATAGGAATGGCAGAGGCATGGAATAGGAATGGCAGAGGCATGGAATAGGAATGGCAGAGGCATGGAATAGGTACGGCAGAGGCATGGAATAGGAATGGCAGAGGCATGGAATAGGAATGGCAGAGGCATGGAATAAGAACGGCAGAGGCATGGACTAGGAATGGCAGAGGCTTGGAATAGGAATGGCAGAGGCATGGAATAGGAATGGCAGAGGCATGGAATAGGAACGGCAGAGGCATGGACTAGGAATGGCAGAGGCATGGAATAGGAATGGCACAGGCATGGAATAGGAATGGCAGAAGCATGGAATAGGAATGGCAGAGGCATGGAATAGGAATGGCAGAGGCATGGAATAGGTACGGCAGAGGCATGGAATAGGAATGGCAGAGGCATGGAATAGGAATGGCAGAGGCATGGAATAGGAACGGCAGAGGCATGGACTAGGAATGGCAGAGGCATGGAATAGGAATGGCAGAGGCATGGAATAGGAATGGCAGAGGCATGGAATAGGAATGGCAGAGGCATGGAATAGGAATGGCAGAGGCATGGAATAGGAATGGCAGAGGCACGGACTAGGAAGGCTCACGGGTTGCGGTAGAAGGCAAGCCAGTCGTGGATCTGCGTGCAGCGGCGGTGCATCCGACGGTACTCCGACAGACGCCGCCGCAACGCCAGTGATGGCGGCAGCTGCCGGTCAGGGCGCTGCGGTGCACGTAGAGAGAGGGGAGGGGGGAGAGGCAATGCAGAAGGGCGGGCTGCATTAGAGAACGCGAGGGGACAGGAAGACGAGGAGAAGAGGCGAAGAGGGAATGGTGAAACAAGAGAAACAGGCGCCGCCTCAACGCCAGTGATGGGGGAGCTGGCGGTCGGGGCGCTGCCATGCACGCAGAGAGAGGGGAGGGGGGAGAAGAGGTTGCCAGTTAGATAGACGGGCAGAAAGAAATGGTGATAGAGCGAGGCTCGTGACCAATGGCACGTGGGATGCAGACAGAGAGAGCAGCGGAAGACGGGGAAAAGTGGTGAGGAACACATAAGTGCATCTCACCGTGACATACATGCATCTCACCGTGACATACATGTGCATCTCCCATTTGCTCCAGCATCTGTCGCCTGCCCGCCGCATGTGCCGTTTAACTCCGTCCACCCACACCCCAGGGCCCGCCATGCCGCCACGCGCGCCCACGTGCATGCGCTCACGCCCATCGCTACCGTCGTCGTACCTTCCACCGCCCCCCTCACTGTCACCGGCCCCCTCACTGTCACCGGCCCCCTCACTGCCACCGCCCCCCTCACTGCCACCGCCCCCCTCACTGCCACCGCCCCCCTCACTGCCACCGCCCCCCTCACTGCCTTGACCATCCGCCAGCCTGCGACGCCCACCCGTGCCTCGCCTGCCCTCCCCTCGCCTGCGCGCCTCTCCGCCCACAGAACCTCCTCGCGCCTCTCCGCCCACTGAACCTCCTCGCTCTTCCGTCAACTCCCTTCCCCGCGACGCTTCCCGCCTGCCCTCCCGCGTCCGCTCCCCCTGCAATTCCCGCTGCGCGCCCCTTGGCGACCGCCCTCGCGTCCCCCCTTCGTCGCCGCCACGCGCATGCTGCTGTGAGTGCGGACCCGACAACCACCCGCCCACATCGTCGCCGCCTACGCCTTCACTCTCGCCGTCACCTCCGTCACTGTCACGTCCTTCAGTGTCACCTCCGCCGATGTCACCTCCGTCAATGTCACCTCGGTCAGTGTCACCTCCATCAATGTCACTTCCGTCAATGTCACCTCCGTCAATATCACCTCCGTCAATATCACCTACGTCAATATCACCTCCGTCAATGTCACCTCTGTCAATGTCAGCGCGTGAGCCCCCAACCACACGATCGCTCATTCCATCTCCCCTCGTGTCCGTGTCGAACCCATACCCTCTCCAAGCCTCGCCGTTCCCACCCACGCGCCATTTACGGTCATCCCGCGCCTCAAAGTCCGAACCATTTCGCCGCCATGTCCCAACCGGCTCACCCGCCCTCGCCCTCGCTAACGCCCTGCGCAAGACGGGCCCTTCACCAGCGGCGGCAGCGGCGGCGGCGAGCATCAGCAGCGCCGCCGCAACGCGCGCGACAACCGCTGTCGACCGGCGAGAGTAGGTCGGCCCCGATGGCGCCATGGCGTAGCGCACGGCGTGGCGCGAGAGATGCGCACCTCACAAGAATTCTGGCCCTCAGGACATGCCCACAAAGGTAGCATACTTTAAGTATCCTACGTAACCTATCAAAGAACTTGGCCCATCATGCAGGGATCTGTGCTCCAGAAGTTGGGTTTCGGATCTGAGAAAGGGGAGGCATCCCAAGCGAACGAAGGAACAGCAAGGAGCTGGCTAATATCAGACCAGTTACAAAAAGGACATTCTCGTTCTTAGCAGTTCTGGCCCCAGGTGACACGCCCTTAGTTTCGACCATTCTTTCCTCTGCTCCGCGACCCATCTCGGATTGCTCACAACCCTTGCGAAAAACGTGCGCAACGTTACTGTCATGTTACTACCGTGACGAGCTCGGCGAAGACAGGCGAAAGTGGGCCGAACAGAAGTGGTCTGCTACAGTAGTATGTGCTGACGTCAATCGAGAAGAGAGGGTGGCTTGCTTCACTCCCGGCTCCTGATGAGTGTGCGTGGCTGGAGCCTCCAGTAATATTCTCAATTGTTACGGTAGGCGGTGACCTCCAGGTTCGCAAGCGTGGTCACTCCTTCGTCTTTGCGATTTCGCCTGTATGAAGTGCCGTACGCGTCACGCGCTTCTGTTTGCGAGGTTTCATCCGGCTGATAAGTTCTTTCGCAGATTGCGTTACATGATGGGTGAATCCGCGAACTTCAAACAGCACCGTTAGGGAACGCACACTACATAAACACAGGCTTTGACGTTCCCTCCCGAACAGCTCAGCGGAATTCGGTCGACGGAGCCGAATTGCCAGTGTCGTCGAGGGGGGTCGTCAAAGCCTGGGCTGACGGGGCGGAGCACTGACGCGCGTGCGGGCCCGCCAGCCTGGCCCAGGGCTGGGCCGAGTGCACGACCGCCGCCCCGCAGCCCCGCCCCGAATGTGAACAGCGGCCCACGTTACTGGGTGGGGTCAGCGAACCGGCGACAGCTCGCGCGTGGGAAAAGTACCCTCGCGCGAAGGCAGCCCACACGCGCCACCTGCCCGCGAGGTCCTAGTAACCCATCGCGGCCTGCCCGGACGGGCAGGCGAGAGCCGGGCGAAAAGTCGGGGGCCCCTCGGGACACTCGACAACTTCGCGACCCGTTGCGGTGACGCCACGTGTTCGCCCGCCTACTTCGCATCGGGCAACATGCAGAATTTGGTACATTGCGAATTCAATTCGGGACATTGCGAATTCGATGTCGATCGCTTCGCGGCGCACGCTTTTCGCTTCGGGACGTGACATCGACTTGCTGGCTCGGGGCGAATGAGGACTTGTGCCACTTGTGCACGACCCCGCCAAACCCCGCCGAGGCAGGCACCACGAGGGCCGGGCGATGCCTCGACCGTTCCTGTGGGGCACCGACCCCCTTTTCTTGGTGGAAGGGGGCATCGCTCCTCATTTTCGGCATCTCGTTTCCCTTTCCACCTTTTCCCCAGCTCTGCGCCTTCTCCCACATTCACGTCCCTTAGCCTGTAGCCGCTTCCCTTCCCCGCTATGTCGGCCGCCCCGAAACTCGGCGAGGTGACGCCGACTTCGCAGGACTTCCCTCTGTATCTCGACCTGGGTAGTGGACTCACTGCCAAGCTCGACGAACACGACTACGCCGTCCTCGTAGACCATAGGCTAGAGTTCAATGCCCGTTGCTTGGGATTCGGCCTCAAGTGAGTGTCCGTATTGGGATGTCGACGTCGACCGCTGGATACCTTGCAGGTCGACGTTGTTAGGGTTGTCCCACGTTTTGGTCGGCGCTACTAGTTTAGGGTTTAGATCACTACTCGGTGATGCACACAGCCGTAGGCCGGCACCGGACTCCGATCACTACAGTAGGTCGGTGCCCGCATCGGTAGGCGCCATTGATTACAACGTAGCGACGGTGGTGCACCGTTCTACTATCGCCATCCCCGTCAGTTGTCGGTTCCAGAACCCACGTGCCCATCCGTCGTGTCGTGCACGTCCTCAAACACATCTACTACCTATGCATGCGTGCAGGTACGCATGGATTCGCGCGGCGCCGGCCAACATGCGATTGTGGTCGATAGGACTTGGCCGGCTTCGGGCGGCGATGGGCAAGGAAGACCACTCATGCTTTGCTACGGTGTTCGACGCCGACGTAGCTGTTATCCCTCTGCATTCGAGGTGAGCCTAAGTCATGATGGTGTGCCATGATGCCTATGTTGCTGCTCCGTTCTGATCGACGTCGTGGTGCCTACCCTGTGCAGCATCGCACCGCTTCCAGGGGCACATTGCAGCGTCGTGGTCATCCTGTACCCCGGCGACTTGTTGCGGGCCGGGGGGGGGGGACGATCAGGACCTCTGTCCGGCACTTTGACCCGCAAACCGTGAAGCAGTGGCACCGCGACTAGGCGATCCGCGTGCTGAAGTGAGCTCGATAGTGTAGTCGACGACGCATGCAATTTCGCCACTGGGCGTTAAGCAAGTCTACTGAAGATATGTGCCATGTTGCTTCAGGTTTTTCCGGGCGGCGGTGCTGGCCGAGCTCGGCCGCGATGGCCGGCACTGGGAGTGGCCGAAGCCTTCTGCTGAAGAGGTGGCGGACAGGCTCGCCGACTTCGATGAACCCGTTCGAGATGTGAGTACCGATCGTTTTACCGTCCTAGCGCGATGCCATCGCCGCCGTCGGTGCTCATCCTTGCTCTCTGCTCTGTTGTTTGCAGAAAATGCGCGACACCGCCCGGGACAGCGACGCAGGCTCTGGCCTCCTATCAATGAGCGCGCTGTGCTGGGTGGTGAAGAGGATGGATCGCCTGACCGGCGATGACCGTCGCAGTGCGACCAGCATGGACAAGGTCCTCGTTTCGGGGTTGAAGGAGCTGCGGATTCGGATGATCACATACATCAAGGAACACGTTGCACGCAAACGGTCAAGCCATGTCGGAGTTGCTGCCGATGCCTGTGACGACGACGCCGCGGAGCCCCCTTCGGCATCCCAAGCAGTCGGTGTCGCCGACAACAGCGGAGAGGTCGGAGACGGCGTCGACAAGGCAGATGAGGAGGCACAAAGGGCTGTGGCGAGGACCGCGGCTCAAGAAAAGGAGGAGGAGGAGGATGACACCGACGATCAGGATGATAACGAGGAGGATCCTGAGGAGCGTGAGTAGGGGCATGGGCACGAGGAGGAGGAGGAGGAGGAGGAGGAGGAGGAGGAGGAGGAGGAGGAGGAGGAGGAGGAGGAGGAGGAAGAGGAGGAGGATGAGGAGGAGGAGGAGGACAAGGAGGCGGCGGCGGCGGAGGCCGTGGAGCAGGGTTTCGGGTCGGTGGAGCAGGTGGCGGAGGGGGAGAAGCAGCAAGAGGGGGAGGAGGAGGTAGAGTTCCCCTTGGTCGAATTCGAGATGGAGAATGTTGAGGGAGCGGCGGCGGTGGCCGTGGAGGGAGCGGTGGCGGCCGTGGAGGGAACGGGTGGGATGTCGGCGGATGTTGTGTACGTGCGAGGGGAGGGTGCCGATGTGGAGAATGTCGGCGTGGAGGAGGCGCACGTGGTCGGCAATGTGGTTGGCGACACGAAGGAGGAGGATAACGCCGCGGCCCCGACGCCGACGAGCGTGGAGACCACCACAGGAAACGCAGGGGTGGAACGCCGGGGTGGAGCGGTAGAGGCGGGCCGTCAACTGGGTTCCTCACCAGCTGGTCGGCAGGCAACGCCGGCCGTTGTCGCGCAGCTGCGACAGGAGAACATGTGGCTGAGGGCTGAAAATGCTCGTCTTGAGACGGCGCTCGGAGTGGAGAGGGGTCGGGTGGACAGGTTCGCGATGGGGATTGGCCGCCTCGTGGACAAGCTCAGGTCGTTGGCCGACCACGTCGCCGCCTCCGACCAGGACGCGTCGAGTCGGCTGATGGACGCGTCCTTGACCATGGCGACGAACGTGACGGAGAACATCACCGCCAACATGGGTGAAGCATGGGATGCGATGAAGGCGTACGCTGAGAGGGCGGAGAGCTGGTTGGACGATCTAGAGAATCCGGAGGGGTTTATGGCGGTGCAACGTGCGAACGCGGTCGTCGCCATGGGCAACCACGTGGACGAAGCGAGGAAGGGATTGGAGGAATACATATCGAAGCACCTAGTCGCCGCGCAGACCAACATCGCCGCCGCGGTAACTCAACGCGTCGCCGTCCCGCCGCCCACGCCGCCCGCCCCACCGCCAGCCTTCCCGGACGAGCTCATGAAGTCTTTCAAGGCGGACGTGTTGAAGGCGGTGACTGAGGCCACCCAGCAGTCGTTTGTTGCGTCCGGGTTAAACCTCATGACCCAGGTGATCGGCCATCTGGCGCCTGGTCGGCATGGGTCGTCGCCGTCGGACAACGAGGCCGACAAGAAGGGTGCGAAAAGGGCGGGCGGCGGAGATGATGCGTTGAGCTCAAAGCGGAGCAAGGGAGCCGATGGGAGCCACGGCATCGGCCAGGTGGGTACAGGCGGCTCGCGGAGCAAGGGAGCCGATGGGAGTGGAGGTACGAGCGTGGTCGGCCAGCTCAAGAAGAACGGGGCCAAGGTGATAAGGACGCACAGCAAGGGCGATGGAATCAGGAGTGCGGAGGGGGGCCCTGCCGACCAGGTTGCCGCTCAAGAGGCTGGACCAACAGCCCCGCCATTGGTTGCCGAGAAGCCGGCCAGTCTAGCGACCGCACCAACGGCGATAGATGGCGGCGCCAAAACCGTCAAGGGACCGTTCGGCGGAGTGGCGGGGACCACGTCGATCCCCCGCAAACCCCCTGCGGCTAGCAGCGCGCCGGTCGCCCCGTCAGCCGCCAACAACGATGGGCCGTCCCTTGCGGCTACTCCAGCACCAGCAGGCACGTCTGCCGCCAAGGTTGACGCTGTGGATGCTGCGGCTAACCGCGCTGGTCCGTCCGCCCCAAAGGCGAACGCGCTCAGGGAGATGCTCAGCCGCATGGAGACCCATCGACAGGACGTGCACCAGCCTCCCGTGGTCGGTACCGCGCCGGCCACAACAGCACATTGCTCGGTCACTCCCCAGGTCGCCGCCACAACGTCCAGTGCCCCACCTACCGCGCCTATCATCGCCGCCCGTCCTCCTGTGGACCCAAAGTCCGCCTTGCTTCGCGCCCGGTTAGGTGCACGTACTGCGGCAGCGCCAGCACGGGCTCAGCCGGTATCCAACTCATGCGCGTCGCCGACGTCGGTGACCGTAGCTGCACACACACTCGGTGCGGCTACTGTCGAGGCGGTGGCGGAGGAGGGCGTGAGTGCAGCGCTAGCCACGGGCGGCAGATCAGTTGACCCTGCACAGGCGGCGAAGGACCACAACGACGCCGATATCGGTGCCATCCAGGACCTGTTGGAAGCGGTAAACCGCCCCAAGCAGCCCCCTGTGCTGGCCATCTTGGACTCGGCGAGTCCCACCGGTTGTACAACGGAGCCAAAGACGACCACTGCTGCGGTCGGCGCGGGAAAGTCGAAACGGAAGGGGACGGTCGACGCAGGGAAAGCGAGGCCGAGCTCGAAGAAGAAAACACGGGCAACGTCAGCGATGGTGAAGTCGGTGGAGAAAGGACAGGGGATGGCGACGGCGATGGTGGAGAAGGAGAAGGAGGAGGAGATGGAGGAGAAGAAGAAGGAGAAGGAGGGGAAGGAGAAGGAGAAGGAGAAGGAGGAGAAGGAGAAGGAGAAGGAGAAGGAGGAGAAGGAGAAGGAGGAGGAGAAGGTGGAGGAGGCGGAGGTGGGGGAGGAGGAGAAGGAGAAGGAGAAGGAGGAGGAGGAGGAGAAGGAGGAGGAGGAGGAGGAGGAGGAGGAGGAGGAGAAGAAGCTGGAGGAGGAGGAGGCGGCGACGGAGGAGGAGAAGGTGAAGGTGAAAGAACGGAAGGGTCATGGCATCCGCCACGACACCACGGGCGACAAGCAAGAGTGGGTGGGTGAGATTAAGGTGGTGGGGAACGAGAGCAGATACATCGGCAAGTCCCGCGAGAAGATGGAGCTGGCGTACCTTCACTCGATTGTGTACCTCCTGTACGACGGTCACGTCAGCAAGATCCTCATGGCCGAGCTCACCGGCTTGGAGGAAACAGTGATAAAGCAGTGGAGGGCGGTGTGGAAGGAAGTCCGGTTCTTGCCGACTGGGATGTGGACGGTGATATGGGCACGGGGCGCGTTCCTCCCAAAGACACGGTAAGTCGGATAAACGTCGGCCAAGCTATGATGTCGACGTCGGCGTTCCTAACGGCCAGTTTCGTGTGATTGCGTGACAGGTTCGATGATATCCTCGAGAAGTATCGAGCGTACAAGACATCAGGCGATGCGCACCACGATGCGCTTTTGCCCGCAATCTGGTTCCCCGTCGATGCCGACACGAAGGAAGGGAAGCAGAAGTCGGATGCAATGATGTCGGCCATGATTGATCGCGTGTCCTTGTGCACGGCATATGGGAAGGTCGCTGCATCCGCGGCGAGAATGGAGGGCGACATGGATCAGACGTCGGCGAAGGTCGCACAGGCGCTGTCGGCCTCCGCTTGCGCCCTGTGGTGCTTAGTCGAGGGCGACGGCGCCCAGGTGGCTGATGCCGTCCGCGAAGGGAAGGCGGCGGCGATGTTGGTCGGCGCGAGCGAGACTACCGCCGCCGAGTTCAAGAAGGTCATGACGGCGGTGCTGGAGGCCGCGATCAGCAGGTAGCAACCCCTTGGGGAGGTTGCGCACAAAGTCGCACCGGCGCTGGAGTCCACCGCTCTGGCCAAAGCCTATCCGGGGTTGGATGTTGAAGCGGAGGCCAAACTGATCGCACGAGCGACGGTGGAAACCCTCGCGTTCTGGGGAATGTGCCCCGTGGATGGGCCGAAACTTAGGAAGATCAACATCGCGGTGCCGCTTGACGCGCAGATGGAGTACGATATCGAACACAGGGGGAGGAAGAGGCCGAGGGGCAAGCAGGGCAAGGACAGCTCGGGGAGGAAGGGAAAGAAGGGCAGAGCGGGCAAGGACAGCACGGCGGCGTAGTCGGCATAACAATCTGCCATGGGCGGCAGGAGGGAGCGCAAGTAGGTCTTCTTGCTAAGATGGCCTGGTATGGGCGGCGTCGATTGTGTAGTTTTCGTTGGGATTTTTTTCCGTTTGATTGTATATTTTTCGCTGGGATTTCTTTTGTTGGCTGTAACTTTTTGGTAGTGCATGTTACTAGAACACTCCTCGGCAAGGTCGACTTGATCTCTACCATGTTACTCAAATGCGGGCCCGGTTTGATGAACCCCGTCGGCGTATAACAACTCGGCGTCGTACGGTGTCGACATAGTGCGTCTGGTTGTATGCATGTATATACTCGGCGATGAGCCTCGTCGGCTAGGCCGAGATGGTCAATGGTCGGCGCTTTGGAGAATGTGCCGCGCCGCCCAGGTGGCCGAAACTCTAGAAGGTCGGCATCGATGTCCCGTTTGACGCGCATATCGAGCGGGCATGGACAGCACGGATGCGTAGTCGGCGCGCGGAGGGAGCGCTAGGTGGTATGGTTGCTTGGTTATAGCGTGATTGGCGCCGTTTGCGCCGTTTGCATGCAGTCAGCGATGTCGATATGAATAAGGCACAATGAATTGCACACACATGGTGGCGACTATGTCGGAGTCCGACATATCTGATTCGGATGTATGTGTTGGATCATGTATGTTCGTGTTGCATCACCATCAACAAGTACGATGGGAACACTACAGTTTGCTAAATTAGGGCATCATCAACCTACGCTAACACATATGCACCGAGGATGTTCATGCCGACTTCTTGCGCTTTGACGGAGGACGCTGCGCAGGTGCGGTCTGCTTGGCCAAGTCGGCCACAGTCTTCGGCATCTGCTCCTCCCAGGTGTCTGGAAACAGGGTGGTCGACCCACGTCGTCGGCTTCAGCTCCAGCGCCACCAGCGCACAGGCGAGGCGTAGCTTCGAGACCACCTTGGGGCCAAGCCCCTTGACGCCCATGCCAGGCTCCTTGGACATCGTCGGTGCCGTCTCCGGGTTGAGCACCGTGAGGGCATCGCAGAAGGTCCTAATGCCCAGTGCCGCGATCGTGTTCAGTGCATCGACCACGGCTTCGGTGTCGGCATCGCCGTCGCTCGCGCGTAGCTGGCGCATCGGATCCATGGCCTTCAGCATGCGGCGCACCCTCATGTTGAGTGCACCCTGGGTCGCGCCTTTGAGGAGGGTGTGGCGGTCGATGAACCCCGGCTCGGCGACCCTGTCGCAAAGACGATGGGTGTCATTGGCGGTGGCGGAGTTCCAGAGGCGCCAAGCGTCCCGCACGGTCTTTGAATCCTGCCAAGGTTGCACCACGTTGAGCTCGTAACTGGCCTCCTCTGCCGTGTGGGGGGGTGGCGGGGGTTTCCCATCATCTCTCTTGGCTCCGGTCCCCGTGTTGGCTGAATCCGCGGAGCCACCCTCGCCCGGAGTTTGATCGGTCGCCGACGGCGGCGCCGCCGGCATCCTCCGGGCTTCTGACACACGGAGTGCCTCGGTGAGTCGAGTAAGCTCGGCGGTGAGCGACGCGATGGTGTCGTTTTGCTTCTCGATCGTCTCCTGAAGGCCTAGCTTCTCGAGCGCCGAGCGCTCGACCTCCTTCTTCAGCGCCTCCTTGAGGGACATGTTGTGATACTGGGTGTCCATGCGCACGGATATTTCCTGCAATGTTGAGTGTGCGGAAAGGCGACAAGAGGTTAGAATTCACCGGCTAAAATTCAACGACGCCGACATGGTCGGCGACTCACCTCCGGCTGTATCTGAGTCGGGTCCCGGCGCTTTTTGATCGTATCGGTGTCGACCGACTCGACCCTTTTCGCCCAGTGCTGGAAGAGGGCAATCCTGCAGAGCTTGGAACCTTGGACGTACGGGTGCCACAGTGTGCGGATGAGCTTCACCGCGAGGTCCTCGGCGACGATTCGTCGGAACATCACGAGGGTGCGCAAGAAGTGCACTGCGGCTGCATCGGCGTCGCTCCCGTTGACGGCACGCGTCTCCGCCTGCAAGTCGGAAAGTGGCATGGGTTAGTAGGGAGTTGGGCAGCCAACTAGGCCACGACAACTGAAAAACATTGTCGGCGTCGCGTGACATACATCGCGCAGCATAGCATCCACGCCGGGGAAGATGTGCTCGGCGAGCAGGTCCAGGAGTTTGTCGGAGGGCTCGACCCTGCTGCGCCCCAAGAAGTAGTCTTGCTTGAGTCCCGAGTAGCCGGCCTTCTGCATCACCACCCCAACGGGAATGGCCGTGATGTACGCACGCGTCATCTTGTCGAGAGCCCAGTGTCCCAGCTCGGCGATCTGGGCGCGTGGCGTCCCTCCGATGGCTAGCTCATGCGCACCTCCGGCGCGGGCGGCGTGCACGTTCCTTTTGCAGAACACCTTGTTGGTCGTCAACATCTGCTGAGTCCAATGTTGGTGGGTGGCGGCGGGGAGCTCCTCCTGCTCCTTGTCATTTCTGGCAAAGAAGAGATGCTTCTTGTACCAGCGTTCGCGTTCTGTGGTGTCAAGCGGCGGAAGGAAGTCGGTGTCGGAGAACTGACCGATCTGGTCGAGGATGAAGTGCAGCCACAGGCCGGTCTCCCGACGGCGCATAGCTCCGCTTCCAGGTGTCGCGCAGCGTAGCTCTGCTGAAGACGGGCATCCTTGGAAGTCTTCGAGTTACGCGCGGCGATCACCATGACGACCGGCTGGCTATCCGGGTTCACCTCCGAGGTGCTCGCCAGGTGGTACAAGAAGACGTCGGGGAGCGTGATCTCGCGGATGCTGGCGCTGCGCAGGAGAGTGTGGTGGGAGAGTAGCGTGAGCACCTTGACGATCAGGAATCGCCACACCGTCTGCGACGGAGTGGTAGCCCGCGGGTTCCATGCCGCCGCCGCCCATGTCGGCAGCACCCTCATCATGATCTGGCGGAACTGCGCGGCAGTGTAGGTATCGCCGATGGTGCCGCGTCGACGGTCGGCGCAGTTCCTGAATGCAAATTGGCGGGGAAAATCTGTTAGACTGCGTCGACTTCACAGTGCACAGTGATATATAATAAGGTTGTCGACCAACTTACTTGATGTCCCTCTCGTTCTTGTGGCGGACGTTGAACCGCACCTCCAATCTCACCATCGAGATCTCCCTCATGATGCCCAGCTCCTTCTCTCGGTACAGCGTCGCCTCCACCCTCGCCGCCATCTGGCATGCCTTTATGCGGCCGAGGATCGTGTGCACAGTTGTCGACCTCACAGGCCCCGTTCGCGTGGCATTTTTCTCCTCCCCGGGCTGGTCAACAATGAGGTTACACTCACGCCTCATTTGCTTCACGTAGGCGCGCAGCCGGGCTTCGGTGACCCTTGGGCCGTGCAGCCAGATGTACTGTCGGCGGACCACTTTCTCGTTGCACCAATCCCTTTTCTTGTTGTCGCGGATGTAGTGGCCGATCTCGTCGACGTGCCTAAGTCGTTGCTCATGGGGTAGCTTGTCGCGTATCTGCTTTAGCATCTTCGCCGCCCACTTCTTGTAGTGGTAGATGAACGCGGTGTACAGCCTAAGCGTGCTATTCTTCTCCAAGCATTGTAGGTGTCGTAGGGCGTCCATTATGAGCACGTCAATGCTGGAGTACACCATGTCGTCCACTACAAAGTCCGTCGCCTTCCACCCTTCGCGCGGCACCGCCATGTGCTGATTGTCCTCCTTCTTGTCCTCTTCGAGCATGTCATGTATGTATTCAAATTCCCGCCTAAGGCGTTCTTCCAAGGTGCGCGGATTCGTGCTATGCGGAGGACGGTCGTCAACTTCGTCGTCGCTCTCTTCCTCGTCCTCGTCGTCGTCATCACCTTGGTTTTCCGAGCCGGCCGGCACCGACGAAGGTCCAGGCTGCCCATCTGCCGTCGGTGTCGACTTCTTCGTAAACTCCCCAATTGGCGGATTCGGTATGTCCTTGGTGTACTCCCCTTCGGGAATCTGAGTAAGTTTGTCAAGATCGTAAAGCAACTTCAGCGTCTCTACGGGGGCAGAGGACGGACTGTGGTCGGTTGGGGTACCAACGTTGGGCATGTCGACGTCGTCCATGACCGCTCGTATGCTCTACCGCCTGCCGTGGAAGAGGGAAAGATTGGTAAACCAGAGACGGAAGTGATTCACGGGTGCGGTGTACGCCCTAATCGTCCTGCGGCGGTCTTCCTCGAATTCCCTTTCAAGTGCTTCTAACTCAGCGTCGACCTCGAGTCGTTCCAGTTGCGCTTTGATGTCGGCGTCTACCGAATCGGCGGGGGGTGGGATAAGTTGCGGCTGTTGGGCGCTAGGCCTTCCTCTGGCCATGCGTCGCCGACTCTGTAAGGTTGGGGAGATGCTATCGTCGCCCTGAACTATCGTCGCCGACTTTCCTAGATGACGACCTAGAACCTAGTAAGGCAAAGTCGACGATGGTCGACCCCAACACCGACCTATGGCAGTCTATTCCAGGTCGACGCCTGAGTGCTGCCGCTCGGTCGACTCGGCCGTCGAGTAACCTAGACCCGCGGAGACAGCGAGGGTCCTGTGAAGAAAACGAAGTGCCAGATGGCGCACATGAGCATGAGAGAAACACGAAGCTGAACAGGCGGAATGAGAGCGTTGTGCGTGGTCAAAGAGGGGTATGGTTGCGAGCCACTGCGCACCTGCCGCACTCCACGCAGCCCTCTTTGCAAGCGCAGCAGTGCACGTGCATGAGTGTCACGATCGATGCATGTTTAGTGTCACGCCACTTTGCGCTCAACGGCACTCCCGCCGGTGCCTTGCCACGGTGGAATTCACGTGCGCCACGTGCAATAGGCCAATCACCAAGTTCCACTCTCCCGAAATGCCGTAGCGTCCTGCTCTCCCGCGCAAACCTCATCGACCTGCGAGTAGGCGCGTGGCCGGAGGCTTGGTCGACGCCGACATTCCCTGAGTCTGGGGCTCTCTTCGCCTACGCATGGTATGGTCCGCACAGAACCATCCGCGTGGGTCGTGTTGCTGCTGTTGGATCTTCGGGCGACACCGACATCTCATTACCACGCGTTCTCTGGCTATCTAGATGGTGGACACATGTACATGCCTTAGCCAGTCGTCTTTTGCCGCATGGACGGCGCGCCAAGTTTCACGCGCAGCGAAAGATACCCGGTGCTGCAAAGCGGGGCCACATCGGCGTCGTCGTGGCACCTCCCGATTGTCAGGCTCGATCTCGGCCGTCCCTACTAGGCCACGTGACTGTAATCGCGGCTCGCCGCACGACGTGTCGAGCCCTGGTTCAGGGTCCACTGAGGTATCCTTCTCGGGTTTCTCTCAGCGAAACCCGAGGTCGTCAAGTTGTCGACAATCCCGAGGGGTTGAGAGCCCCGGAGGACTGCCAGGTCGCCCCAGTTTGCCACTCGGAGGTCGTCAGGAGCTCGTCAATCCCGAGGGGGTTCGTTGTCGTATCGCAACCGCGAAATTGGGCGGCTGTTTTCGTCGGCTGAGGTATATCATCCCGAACACCTTAGCCGAAAAAGGTCGTCTGGATGCCCGCAACTAATGCTCACATATCCTGTTGCACAGCTGGCGTGTCTGTCCGTACCTGATTCACCGATGTTGTTGAGACACCGTCATACTCTATTCATGTGACAGTGTACCAAAAGGGCTGACGTTTCAAAAAATGCCTCCCTGTTTTTGACCCGCATTTTTTTTTTTCTACTCTGACGGCAATTCAGCCGCAAAATGGCCACTCTGAGCGTGTTAAAAGAAATCAAGGTTGAAAAAAACACAACTATGGTCCTTCGGTTTTGGGGAAATGACTTCAGAGTCGCGTTTTTTTTTTTTTTTTTTTTTTTTTTTTTTTTTTTTTTTCATTCTGGTTTGTCGGTGAGCTTCAAGGGCGAGAAGGACTCTTGCAACATTGGCTCGATTTGGCGCAACTTTGCAAGTGCCAACTGGGCGACCTGCCACGTAGCTGAGCTGGCACAAAGCACAAACCACCACTTGGCGCGCGAGAATCTGCCGGTGCCTCCGCAACATATTTTTTCAACCTATGAATCAGGAACAATTTATTCAAGTGCTGTGGTGAGGAGAAATGTTCGATTTCAGCACCAAAAAGTGCGATACATTACCTGTGGCAAGATATCCTCTCCCACCGATTCGCCGATTTGTTGTGCTATCCGATAAGACATCACTATTGGGCTTCTTTTTCTAGCTCGCTTCAATGGTTAACCCATTGTGGGACACAATTTAACCTGCATGATACTGCCACAGATAGAGTGTATTTAGTATCGCAGCAGGTGCTGTGTGCTTTGCTCACGTGTTGGCATTCGCTGCCACCTCGGAGGTGGGTGTATCGAAAGAAAAATTCAATGAAGCTTCCTCCCGATAAATTCGCATGCAGGGACCACAAAACGAATACTCTGTAGTGACAGACTCCAGAAATGACTAACACTTCGGCCTATTACACTGAATCAGGGGCCATAAAATAGTAACTCTGAGGCTCCCAGTAATGAAAATTTGACTACTCTGGAATTCCATTTTTCACAAACTCGATGGTCTGATCCGTCAGACTAATCATATTATTTACTCTGATAGCGTCAGCACCAAACCCGCTTTCCTTCCCTCTACCTGGACGATCTCTTCTTGATGTTGACGACGACTTCCAACAAACATGGCTGTCGCCTCCCCAGTCCCGCCGATGATCCCTTCAGGCCCGCATCGTTGGACCATCATGCTGCCACTCGCCTCGCATCGCATCCCCAAGCCTCTCAAGCTAAAAGACGGTGCATTGTCTTTCAAACGAGACAGATCCTTTCCAAATTTTATAGTATTACGTTACTAGCATGAAGCGCACTGCGTCATTCTTCGTCATCCTCTCTGTAAGCTCTATTGCCATGCCACCACACTAGATGACCCATGATCTCTGGTTTCCACTCTTATTTCAAGGACAGAGTTTTCAAGATGATCCGAATCTGTCACCGATTTTTTGGTCAATGAGCACATCGAGTCGACTTGATGTCACTGCCAGTGCAACTCGCACTCGGAGTACAGAAGTGTCTCTTTCAAAGGGCTAAGTCGCACTGTCAATGGTTGCTCTCTCGTATCTTCCCCTCGTCTCCACCAGGTGCGGCGCTCTTCACTGTCGCCGCGTCTGCATCACTCTTCCCAGCGGCACTCCGCGACAGCGGCGTTACTGCCGCGTCTGCCGCTCAGACCAAGCCCCTGGCGTGGAAGGGGAAGACGATAGGTACGCGTTTACTACCGTTTCGCACAAAGTATATATTGATGTCTTGTTCTTGTGTGAATATGCGAATCAATCTTGGCATACAAATGATGGGTTTGCAGTGCACTCGAATAACGAGCCAACATTTTGCACATGATCATGCTTATACTAATACGTGGTGGTACGCTACTCCTCATAACTGTCCTAGTGTGACGCTTGAAAACATCTCAAATCATATGCTTCGATTCGTATCCATCCCCTGCGTCCCCATCCGTTTCTTGCCCGACCCATTCCCATTGCCAGCGAAGTATGTGACCCAGCTCCGTCCTACTAAGCTCAATGGTAGGCTTGTCGGCGACAAAGGCGCATCGGGGAAATACGTCCTCAAGGCAGTGAGTGTCAGATATATATGACATAGCTGTTGTAGGCTGTAGTGGGGTAGCACATATGGGGTACAGCTTTCAAGGATTTGTATTTGTACCCAACTTTCACTTAGTCATTCTCATTCCTGTTCATAAATTTCACATGGTATAGAGCGGGTTCCCTGTGGGAACTTTGCCTAGGGCCCACCGAAGCGCGCCCCGAGGCGCGCATTTTTTTTAGCGACCCCTCGAGTCGCCCTTTCCCTCGCGGCCCCGCTGTCCCTCAGACGCGGCCCCGCCGCCCTTCCTGGCGGCCCCGCCATCACTTCGCGGCCCCGCCGTCCAGTCGCGGCCCCGCCGTCCGATCGCGGCCCCGCCACCCGGTCGCGGCCCCGCCGCCCCGTCGCGGCCCCGCCGCCCCGTCGCGGCCCCGCCGCCTCTGATCACGCGGCCCCGCCGCCCCTGCTACCCGGCCCCGCCGCCCCTGCTACGCGGCCCTGCCGCCCCTTACTACGCGCGGCCCCGCCGTCCCTGCTACGCCGGCCCCGCCGCCCCTGCTACGCGGCCCTCGCCGCCTTGCTCACGCGGCCCCGCTGCCCCTATTACGCAGCCCCGCCGCCCCTGCTACTCCGGCCCCCCCGTCCCTGCTACGCCGGCCCCGCCGTACCTACACCGCGGCCCCGCCGCCCCTGCTACGCCGGCCCTGCCGTCCCTGCTACGCCGGCCCCGCCGTCCCTGCTACGCCGGCCCCGCCGTCCCTGCTACGCCGGCCCCGCCGCCCCTGCTACGCGGCCCAGCCGCCCCTATTCCGCGGCTCCGCCGCCCCTGCAACGCCGGCCCCGCCGCCCCTGCTACGCGGCCCCGCTGTCCCTGCTACGCGGCCCCGACGTCCCTGCGCTTGCGGCCCCGCCGCCCTAACTGCAGCAGCCGAGCCGCTCACCTGCAGCAGCCGAGCCGCCCACCTGCAGCAGCCGAGCAGCAGTGCGGCCGAGCCGCCCAACACCCGAGCCGCCCGGCACCCGAGCTGCCCTGCCGCCGAGCCGCCCGGGAGCCGAGCCGCCCTGCACCCGAGCCGCCCGGCAGCCAAGCCGCCCTGCACCCGAGCCGCCCTGCCGCCG